ATTGAAAGCTTTTACCTTGGTCATTTGTAATTATAAATAATATATTTTTTATTTTATGCATATTTAGTTTTAATTAGTTTTAATAGTACATGGTAATTATGAATATTTTATAGATGTGTAAATTATTTTTTTTTCAATTAAATTCCACATATGGTGTGAATTAGTTAGTTAAAATGAATAAATGAATTAATTATTATTATTATTTCATGTATTTTGGTAAATAGATGGTAATGAATTGTCTAGAAATAATAAAACCGTAAATGATTTCAATGAATTAAACAAACTACAATTCAACTTTTAGTGCCGGATAAAATGATGGTGTTGGTGTGGACAATTAAAGAAATTTAAATAAAAAGTGAAGTCTTTCGTTAGGTTTTTAACCATAAGAGTATTTTATTACTTTTATTTCAAAACATAAATCTTTAAATATATATTTTTGATACCATAAGTCTTAAAATTCAGTTACCCTAAATCACACAATTAGTTTTTTTTTTTAATTTTATTTTGATTATACAGTAAAAAATAATTATCTCTCATTTTTTATCTCACCCTCTCTCTTTTTCTCTCGCATGTCATGGGAACTCATGCTCAACAGCTCATACTTGCAATGAAAAAAAAAAACCACTGAATTGCAAATCACACAATTAGCTTAAGTTTAATTCCCCAAAGTAATAATAGATAGACGACAATTTAAACAGCGACCCTTCAGTGGCAGTGTGATTTAGTCCCAATTCCGATCTTTTTCTTGCTCTCGAGCAAAAAAATTAAAGATTCTTCAAGCGATCAAATGGAAATCTCCTCTTCCAGATCGATTGATCCTATCCGACCGGTTGAGTTCCGACTTCCGACACAGCGAATCCTTTCAATTGTTCATCTTTTCATATATATATATATATCTCGGGTGAGATTCAGGTGTGTGTGTGTAAGCTATCAATCTTTTCATCATCGTTAATTGAATATACACATGCTTAATTTGTTGTTTTTTCTTCAATTTTTCTACTGTCTTAGTATGGAATCTTTCTTAATTTTCTATTTATCAGCAAAAGGAAGGCTTTGAATCTGTAATCTGTAACCCTAATTACTAATTTCCTTATATTGTCTCTGCCACAAGGAAGAATTAATGGCAAGAGGACGCCGGCGAGGACCGCCACCGTCAGGGGAAAAACTGAAGAAAAGGAAGGAGGAGAACAAGATAAGGAATAGAGTGTATCGGGCCCAAAGGACGGTAAATAAATCTGTTGTTTTTAGTTTTCATATTTACTAAGTCATGACAGTTAGCATAAGCATATATAAATATACAAGATTATAACACTTTCCTACATATATATTACATGATCATGCATAACACAGATTTTCTTAATTATAGCATGAATCATCATTATAAGCCTATAAATACACATGCACCAACGACCTGTTGGACTAAGTGGAAGGAGTTCAGTTCTCCTTAAGTAAGGTCTCGAGTTCAAGTCCTGTGAATGGAGATACAGGCGCTGGGAGAGTTTTCCTAATAGGGTCTGATGCGACTTAATTCCGGATTAGTCGGACCTAACGTGGTTACAGGATATCGGGAGGTTAATACCAAAAAAATAGAAATATACATGCATGTCATTCAACTTCCATTCAATTTCTCTTGTAAGTTGGTCTTTGGCTGATGACTATATAGGAAGTGGTGTGGGAGCAGTATGGTTTTTCTATCCTTTTAGCATATGATGTGAGTATGTATATATGGAATATGTGGTTGGTGTTTGGCTATGGTGCTGGTTTGAGTGGAATCTCCATAGTCACACCACCCTGGAGTTTGGAACTTCTCCCCGTTTTCTTTTTTATATGGTTTTCAAGTCTTTTTGGTTTAAAATTTTAATTAATGTCCACTCTGCTTTAAAATTACTAGCCAAGTATGGGGATGAGGTAGTAACGTATTCCCATGACTAGATGATGAGCCCTCGAGCTTACAGCTGAGTTTCCATCATCTCTCTTACTCTCCATGTCTAGGGCTGCGGCAAACTTTTTCTCCAGAAAGTGCTCTATGTTTTGTTATGGGTGCAGTATTCTTGTATGTTAGTTTGAGATTTTCTATAGGTTCTACTGTTTAGTATCTGTTTATTTGTGTTGTAATAATGGATAGGTTTATTTATCTATGGTATAATAGTTTATATGCAGGGAAAAAATGATTTAATATTAATGATATAATCTATATTGTTCTGAATTATTGATGTTTACTTGAATTATATTCCTAAAAGATCCTCATCTACTCTGTTGTAATTGTAAATG